ATAATAAATAATAAAATATATTTATAATAAAAAAAAAATATCATAATATAAAATAAAAAATAATAAAAAAAATAAAAATAAAAAAAAAAAAAACAAAAAAAAAAACAAAATAAATAATCAATAACAAAAAGAAGAAAAAAAAAAAAACAAGATCAATATCGATCTCTAATGAAATAAATCGAAAAAAAAAAACGTTTAAACTTTTATAAATACACATGAGACATTTTGTGTTTTTCTTTAACAAAACAATTTTCTTTATCATTAATATTGACCTATATGACATACTGCTTATCCTTGATAACTATATTATAACGGCGTAGTTTGTAAAACTGTTGGAGTTGTTGTTGTTACAGTTTTACTAGTTGTTGTTATATAATCATAAGTTTCATTAAATGAAGATAAAAAATTTTTCTTCGATGGTGGTTTATATAAACTTTGATTAGCATCAACATCTATTTTAAGATGAATAACAGTTGATGTTTTTCGTATATCAACAATACGTATCATTGAATCAATTTGTTTATAACCATCTGCATTAAGACGAACAGTTGACCATGCTAATAATTGAAAACGAGCACCATTACGTTGACCTTTTGGATGAGGTAATGCTTAAAACAAAAATATTTCAAATAATAAAGAAAATATAGTACTTTTCTTACCAGTATAAATAGCTAATTCATAACTTGGTCGTACAACACACATACGTCGTTGAATAAGTCTTAATGATAAATCATCATCTTCACCACCCCAACCCCAATATAAATTTGAAAAACCATTTACTGATTTATACATATCTAATGTTAATAGAAGGACTCCTCCAATTAAAAATTCATAATAACGTGCATAACGATGTGTACTATTTAATTGTCGAACACGTGTTGTTGTATGTTTTGGATGTCTAGATTCACATGAATAAAAATTTCCATCATTTTCAGGTATTAAATCAACATCATGTAATATAAGACATGTAATATTTAATGATTGTTGTTCAATATAACGAATTCCAGCATTATATAATCGACCTTTATTAAATCGAGAACCAAGTGGATAAACCTTGAATAAGAAAATTTACACAATAAGAATACTTTGTCTTTCTAGAACAATAATTATATCTTTATCACTCTCTTACTGAATAGATTATTCATCTGTAAAACAAAAGTTTAGATTTACTTTTTTTTCTATTGTAATATAATATATAAATAAAACAAAGAAAATATCTGAAATTAGGTCTTCGTAAACGTACTACAACAAGGACATATGTATTGAAATGAATTTTTATACTTTGTGAAAATCTTTGAAATATAAGTTAATTTTTCACTTCTGATACAAAAATCTGTCTCGCAGTGTTTCTATTCTTGAATACTTGCCTGTTCAATAAGTACAACTGTGTATGTAAGAAGCTGTCTTCGGGCAAAAGCATGTATGTTCAAGAGAAACACTTTAGCATTATAATCTCGACCTTGTAATGGTACTAGTATAGCAGTTCGTTGTGATGATGTAACTTCAATAGGATACCACATTCCATTTTCATATCGATATGGTATATTTTCAAATGTAATATTTGAAGCAAATGATATTTTCTGAATATGTGTTTGATTTTGTTTTTTTATTAAAATTTGTGTATAAAAATTTTCTACATCATCAAATGTTATATTTGAATATGGTATAACAATTGGAAATGTTCCATGTAAATATTGAGAAAATTTTGGATGAAATTCAGATAATTTTTTTTTTGGTTCATCAAATTTAAATGAACGACAAGATATTGATGTACGTAAAACAAATTCACGATATGGAATTAATAGATATTCAGGTGGAATTGATGATGATTCAATTAAAGAATTTTTTTTTAATTCATGACAATTAATTGAGGTATCATAAACAATTGAAATAATATTCATATGTTTTACATACAATTGTAATGTCACAATAATAATACCAAATAATAAAGTTAATAAAATTTTTGATACTAAAGAACATCGACCCCAATATATTGTTCGCATATCTGAAAAGAAAAATCACCATTTCATATATATATACACCTGGAAAAAATAAGCGGTAGTCTGTGTTTTGGGAATATCGCTATCATAGTAGCATATTTGAAAAAAAAATAATGATATATTCTGAAAGCGTGTGGAGTTTTCTATCAGTTTGTATCTTTGCCTTTTCGTTTGAATATATGTATTACCAAAAAAAATTGAGTATAATGAGGACACTCTCATGTCTAGATTCCCACAGGCTTGATTTTGTCACTGTCACCAGAATTAGTTTTAAAAATTTTTCATCACTATAGAATTATCTTTTGAAAAAAAGTAATTATATATTCTAATAGGACTTGAAATTCTCTATCACCCTATGTATTTACTTATATTCATTTATCGAAAAGAAAATTTGACTACAATGAATGCACCGTCAATTGACAAGTATAAAAAATGTGCATTTTTCATTGCTTTTGGAGTTCGCTTTTTAGAATTTATTATTCTTATGGACAAATTTATTTTTAAAAATCAATCACAGATTCTTATAGAGCTTGAAATTCTCTATTATCTTGCATATTTATTAACTATTTTGCAGTTATATACTGCAGCACATTCAGTGCATAATTGCAAGGCAAAGTAAAAATATATAGGATGATAGAGAATTTCAAGCTCTATCAGGATATATAATTACTTTTCTCAAAATATAATTTTATAGTGATGAAAAATATTAAAAACTAATTCTGGTGACAGTGACAAAATCAAGCCTGTGGAAATCTGAACATAAGGATGTCTTCATTATACTCAATTTTTTTTTGGTAATACATATATTCAAACGAAAATGCAAATATATAAACTGATAGAAAACTCCACACGCTTTCAGAATATATCATTATTTTTTTTTAAATATGCTACTATGATAGCGATATCCCCAAAATACAGACTACAGCTTATTTCTTCTAGGCGTATATCTTTTTGTATTAAGCATCATACAAGCAAAAGAAATGTTCTAAAACATACATTTATGAACACGTATATATTGATTCTAAGAATAACTGAGACAAAAAATTGTTATTCTTTTATTCGAAATAATAATACTGTATAAAGTCTTATACTCGAAGCACAAATCAAAAGAGAGAAAAAAAAACACGTATACAGTTTCATATAGGTAGAAGAGGAACAGAACAATATGAATACTTATTAAAATCTGAGTGAAAAAGACTTGATATGAAAAGAAAAGAAAAGAAATGAAGCATTGTCAAATTCTGTTGATGGTAACAAGTAGTCACTTAGACAAATACTAGAGTAAACGACGATCAAGAGTGCAAACACGTAGTTGATCATATTTTTTTCTCTATGTGTGATTATGCAATACTTTATACTAGCCGTAAAATAAATTGTTATTATTGATATAAAAATGTAATAAATTTTCATATAAGTTCAAGTTTGAAGTAATTATGAATCATGTTTGAAGTTGAAAAAAAAAACAAAAATTTCTTTCATACTTACTTGTAATGTTCAAAGAAAAAGAAAAAAGTAACCAACGAAAAGTATCAAAAATGCAAACTTAAAAGTTTTATATTAAACTAAACACTATTAAATATACAGTGGAAGTGTGAAAGTTCAACGATTGACCGAAGGCGAAAGAAATGTGAGGAAGACGTATTCGATATTATGTCATAAGGCACAAAAAAAAAAGAAAGTTTTTTAAAACAATCTTACTAGGCTTATTGAAGAGGTATACACACTCTCTTTCGCCACTTTCAGGATCTCTGTATGTATATACTTTATTTTGATATGGCAGCCAAATTCGATAGTATAACTGAAAATGTGTTCTTTTTTTTGCCATACTTTTTTTTTCTTGTGTTTCAATTTTCAACAGCCAGACATTGAATAAAATAATTGAATTTTATCAGCTTCCTAGTAAATATACGCCTTGCATGCATATTATATTTCTTCTCAACTTCTACAGAAAACTTTATGCTTATGTAAGCAGATTCGAATCAAATAATTCAAGCTTGAGTTCACTAAAGTTTAACAACTTATTTTATGCATTTAATAAAAATTAGAGAATTCTCTGTTGCTGATTTATTTTTATATTAATCAAAATTCAAATCTGCTATTCAACACATTTGACAAATGATATATATATATGTATTTTGTTTTTTAAGAGCCATCATCGCCGATTGAATACATCTCTTCTTCAATACGAATAGTATTTAGTGTATTTATTTTGACCACGGTGCAAATATAAATGTTTTATCTCTTTTTTCGGTCTAATAGACAACGGTGAAGAAGTTTCTGCTACGTCAATTTATTTTTCTCTTTCAATCATCTTAATAACAATGATTGTAGATAAGAATGATTATAATAAATATTCGTCTATATGATTGTGATATTTTTCTTGTTTTATTACCTGATTTATACTTATGAGCGAAATCTATCATAATGTTTTTTTCACACACATATATATATACTGAAATGTGAAATTAATCGGCATAGAGAAATGATATGAATGACTAGGATATTTTTAAAGAATGAGTACAAACTGTTTGAACTAAAAGTAGAAATAAGCTGGATGTTAAATAGATAACAATTAGTGTTTATCTGCTTTTATTTCAAATGATTTATATCTTTGCAAGTTTTGTTTTATTCTAATGAGGAAGATCTATTAACTGTTGAAGAACTTTTAATTTCATCTTTTGACTATCAATAGATTTCAATGAGACTACGAAAATTACAAAGATATTTGTGTCCATGATTCTTTTCTTTCGAGATATATTCAAAGATATATTTTTAAAAAACACTAAGCTTTTTATCATTCTTATGAAACATATTGATTCGTTATAAGAAACTCTATCACGATCACTAGTATATCTAAATCTCACGTATCGACTAAACGAAATTAAACTAGTAAAGTATCTGATATCAAATACTTTCTTTTAAGTATTAGAAACAAATAAAATGATATAATATTTAAATTATGTGTTAAAGTACGACAAACAGTAAAGATTCATTTTTAAATGATAGTAGTAGTCTTTGGTAGAAGTAATAAAAACAGAATAACTTCCGACACCATGAACAATAAATGCAATTAGAAATTGAAAATCTTTTCTCGTTGTATAGAGACGATTCGAAAGTGAGACAAATGTCGACAATATTACGAAAAAAAACACATTAATAATGATTATTTACATTTCTATCTAGAAACCAATTGTATTGTATGAGTTTACAAAAGAGAGATGTCGCTATCTGAATATAAATGAGTGGTAATAGTTTAACTATGTTATTTTGATCTAACATTTTTCCTAGACTGAAAGGATAAAGTCTAGAAACCGAAATTCACCTGTCTGTCTGCAACACATGGTACAAGTAACTACGCGGTGGTACAAATGACCATAAGATGATACAATTGACCCTAAAAATGGTACAATGGACCGTTGTGATGATATAAATAACCACAAGCTGATCATTTGTGCCATCTTTTTGGTCGCAGACCAAAGATGTGGCACAAATAATCAAATGCTCATACGTTTGGCCCAAAGGACAATATGTACGGTCGATATGATCAGCTTTTGGTTATGTATGGTGTCGCTATGGTCATAGTGCCATTGTTTTGGTTACATGCACGAACTGTTACAGACAGACAGATATAGGTGAATTTCCGTTTCTCTAATAGCCTCTCAGTCTAGGGTTGAGCGAATCGATTGTCGATGAGTATTACTTGTAAAGATTTAGTTGGTCGAATGCAACTCGATCATATATATACAATCTTTCATTTGTCATCTTGCTCGTCATTTTGTTCCCTTCATAAGTCGAAAAGACGTAGAAATTTCTTAGGTTTATTGAGCATAAGAACATGGTCACGCCGATATTCGATATGAGATCTTACCAAAGTTTAGTATACTAAAAAGAATTAAGCATTTTAAATTCATCTTCCCTAATTCTACAATTTGGTTCTTGAAAAAAAAATAAGAAAACAAGTTCGACGATTCTCGTTCTCTATATTGATAATATGTTGAAGAGTGTATAATTGAGAACTTGCACTTCGAGATTTCTCTGAACCTCTTGTCGTCTTTTCACGTTTGAAAAACACATTAGAGATTTTTCGAAAAACAATTTGATACATCTGCTTGAAATTAGTAAGTCAATTTTTGGAAGCGATAAAATCGAACATTGTCAATTATTGGGTCTTCATTACAGCTCACCTTTTAAATCTGCATCTTTAAACAAAGAGACCACAAATAAATTAATTTCTTCGAATTTTTGTCTCAGAGTCATTTTCTGAAAATATTTTCGAATAAATCTGCTTGATTAAATTATAGACTCATATTGAATTACGAGCAATGAAACTGATACAAACAGATGAATAGTTTTGAAGAAATACTCGATGAACTCTTTGACTTGTTTAGAAGTGCTATAATATCAGCTGCAGTTTTTGTTAATTTGTCCTTCACATATCATAGAAATAATGATGCTTCATCTATACCATTAGTTCAATGTGCAATCAACAATTGATATATAAACCGTATTATTTTATTTAAAGAGAAAGAAACTTAAATCTAAACATTTTTGCTTTTCTACATTACATAAATCTTCAATAATCATTAACAACTTTAAAACAAAACTATCATATAAAATTAAGTCATATACCATAGATCACGAATACATTGTCTTATTATGTTAATGTTAACTTATATGAATAGAATCGTTCATCGACAACTTGTCAAAATTTAATGTTACCATCTCCGTACTTATGCATCTACTATTTTTTTCTTTCGTTCATATCAAATGGTTGTTCTTCTTTTTTTTTTCTCGTTCCCGATCGATGCACACACACGCACCTTACATTAACATACCGGTTTTCTTTTTTTGTATATAATTGAATAGAGTGTGCATTCATAATTTTTATATAACGATGTAAACTCCTGTTTTTTTCTCTCCTTTGTACTCTTTAGATATCACTTTTTTTTTTATATTACATACTCAATTATTAAGTTTATATAGTCTTTGTATCAATCAGGTATTTTTATTTGATGTCATGTTTTTACTGATATGTTATATGATAGTGAAAGGTGTCTTACTAAAATACTTCATTGCCAACACTCATAAATGTACAAATAAAATACATGTTTTTGTAATGATTTTTATTCATTCAAAATTTAAATAAAATTAACAATTATTATTATTATTATTTTTTATTTAACTATAAATTTTATTTAGAAAAATCGATTGTTCACTAGTTCTATCATAATTGTGTATAATAGTTCATTTATCACATATGTAGACACGATTGAAAAATATCTCATTATAGTTAAACTCTAACTATGTAACGTAAAGAATGTGACAAATAAGTCTAAAATAGAACAAGAATCACTGATGCATACGTGTCATTTGATCTAATAATATATGTATTTGAATATAAAGTTGTCATTATTATTGACTTAACTTCTTCATTCTTTATTAAATATTTTTGCTTAATCCAAATATTCTTCTATAGTATCCGATGCATAATCTTCTATTATTCAAGAATCTTGTGAATATAATTTTGTTAACTAAAACCATTTCCGATCTATTTACGAATGATAATAAAACGGAAATTATTTTTGTTCTATTCTTATTTTTTAATAATAGAAAAATAGAGTTTTTTTTTTTTGTTTTGTTGTTTCTTCTATTCGTTGATATTATGTTTAAGGTTTATTAAGTCAATGTACACACATGGGAAAACTTTTGTTTTACCAATATAATGCAATGCATTATAAACGCTTGCTATTCTTATTTTTCTCATGCGACAGTTTTTTTTTTTTTTTTTCTGTAAGCTGCATGCACTTGACATAAATAAATGCTTGTAGATACTTCTTCACATGAATAACTTCACGCATCATCGGTATTCATCGTGATGTAGTAATATGCACAGAAAAAGACAAAAGAAAAAAATTGTTTTGTTTTTCAATTCCTTAACTATCTCTGTAATGGTAGTTGTGATGAATGAAGAACAGAAAAAAACATACAATCTTGTTAATATTTTACCATGTGTTAGAAGCGCACAGTGATATTGATGATTTGTATCTAACACACTTTCAAATAGGTTTTTCTCTCTTTTTTTTTTTTTTTTTTACATATGGTATTTGTTGTATATGAGCGTAATATTCTTTCCATTTCTAACTTCCGATAGGTTTTTTCTTATTCCATTTACATGTCAAATATAGAACACAAAAGGATGAAATATTACTATGCATTTAAGAATATTGATTGTTGATTTAGATTAAATACGAGCTTTTGTTCGTGTTTTTTTGTTGACATAAAAATATTCATTTGTCTAAAACATTTTCCTTTGAGATAAGGTTATTCGTATAGAACAAGATCCATGTAAAAGTAGTATGCCCTAAAAGACATAACCTTCAGAAGTTCATCTACATGGGAAAAGTGTATACATTTTATTGAGAAAAAATAGTAAAGAATAAAATGAGTTAATGAACAATCTTAAATTCATTTTTTTGTTTTGCTTTTATTATATGACTGTGAAACATGTAGAATGTTTTATTCTTTTAGAAACAATTATCTTTGATTTTGTCATGAGTACAGACAATCAACAACCTTTAGCATCGTTAGTTAATGACGATCGATCAGAAAAAAATGAAGATGAACCTTCAAAAGAAAAACAATCTTTCTCTTCTCATTCAATAGAAATAAAGTCTAATGATGAAAGTTCTAATACACCAAAAGATAGCAATCAAAATTTACAATATGATATAAATGCGCTAACACCAGCTCAACGTCGTGAACGATTAGGAACTTTAATGGTCATTGGTCTTATTGCTCTTCTAATTGGTATCGACTTTTTCAATTAAACTAAAAAAATCTAAATCAAAATTTTTCTCTAGGTATTGATTATGCTATTATATTACCTACAGCTTGGGGTTATCTTAATTCTTTTGGAGAGCTACAACATGGTGGTATTGTCATCGGTGGACTTTTAGCTGGATTTGCATTATCAGGTTCTATTGCTGGTTTAATATTTGGATATCTAAGTGATATTGGCTATTCATTAAAACAACTTTCTATAATTGGTATTGGATTTAAAATAATTGGAAATTTGCTTTATTTTGTTGGCATTAACTTTTATGTCGTTATTATAGCTCGATTGATTACTGGAATTGGAATGGGTTTAGTGGTAGGAAGTTATTATGAAGAAAAACTTTGTTCCCTTTTTTAGTTTGATTGTTGTTGTTTCTTTTTAGCCACCAACATTAGCAGAAATATCAAGAAGATCAACGCCAGACAAACGAACACAACTTCTTGCAAAAATACTTGGTAACAAAAAAAGAAAAAAAAAAAAAACAATAGAATAAATTTAATGAAGAAAATAATTTTTTTTTCTCACTATTTTCTAGCTTGTCGTCAAATAGGCCTTTTTGTTGGTCCATGTTTTACAATTATTTGTAGAAAAATGAATTTTAAATTACTTGGTCTTCATGTAACATTATATAATTCTCCAGGTTTACTCATGGCAATATTATGGACAATAACATTGATTTTAACAATTTTTTTCTTTTTTGATGCACCAAAATCAATAGTAAGTTGAAATGAAATATGAAGAAAAAACTGAGTATTATTTTGTTTTAGACAGAATATAAATCACCATCAGAAAGATGGACTTGTATGTCATTGGCTCATACATGTACACGTATTTCTACCACATGTAGAAAACCTACAGTTATAGTATGTTTTGGTTTTTTTTTCTTTTTTCAAAGTTTAACAGTACTTTATACTACACGACGGACATTAAATGTAATTATTATCGATTTTTGAAAAAAAGGCGCTTCACAAAAATGCTTATAACTTTTGAAGAAAATGTGATAGAGACCTGCGATTTTCACCGTTGAATAGATCTTTGTACGGGACGTGATACTATTGAATAATCAAGCCTTCTGATCAGATTTACTATACAAAGTCTTTGAATGCAAAATGTACAAGTTTGTCGTTTCCAGCAGGTATAATGAATTTTGGTTTCCTTGAACAACAATCGATAGCCCGGATCGAGATCAACAATTCTAGACTAGCTCCAGTTCTGTATCTCTTACGGTTCGAAAGTTACGAGCATTCTTCAGAAATGTATATATTTCTGTTTGTACATAGAAACTATCGAAAAATTTGGTAGTATTTTGAGATTTTGATTGTCGAAAGGTGTTTTTTATGCAAAGTAAACATGATATTTGAAATCAGCGTGAAAAAGCACACCGAAAACTCTAGTTTTTATTGTAAACTGTTTCCTATCAGAATTTGACCCCTACTCCTCCTCAGCTTTTTATTCCTTAAATGTTTCGCTGTGGTCCACTACGGGTCACATTTTCGTAGAAAATACTTCACAATAAAAACTNCTAGAATTGTTGATCTCGACCGGGGCTATCGATTGTTGTTCAAGGAAACCAAAATTCATTATACCTTCTGGAAACGACAAACTTGTACATTTTGCATTCAAAGACTTTGTATAGTAAATCTGATCAGAAGGCTTGATTATTCAATAGTATCACGTCCCGTACAGAGATCTATCCAACGGTGAAAACCGCAGATCTCTATTAGATTCTCTTCAAAAGTTATAAGCATTTTTGTGAAGCGCCTTTTTTTCAAATATCGATTATAGACGAACTTGAAAAGTTAAAATTCTCTTGGTCTTTAGATTATCGAATACCAATCTCGTCAATCAATCTTTCTTCGTCTTCAGGCTATTTCTAAGTAATAAAATGAAAGTTTTCAAATGCTTTCTAATTCACACCGATGAGAAAAAATAGCATTTATTTATTATTCAAAACTCTCTTTTATAAAAACAGTTTTATAACCATTCAAGTATATGTATTTGATCTACTTATCGAATCGTTTCTTCCAGATTGTAAGTCACATAAACAAACTCCTGATTATTAGATCTGTGCATAAAAAATGATTTAATTGATCAGTAGTAAAGATTCAATCATTAGTTTATTATATATAAATCTCATAAAAAACTTCAGATTTAATCAGTAAAAAATATAAATGTTATCGACATAAGTTTTTTTTTTTATTTGTACAAAAAAGATGTGAATGTGAGTTCAAATGAATTTCCATTTCATTCACATCCATATCTACACGTTCTTATAATCGTCGTACTCAACTTTTGTGTAATAAATAGTAACATTTTTCATTGTCTACATAATGGAATATTTCCTGCCATAATCGCATTTTTTAATAGAAATAGTCTATTAGTCGTTACTACATTGAAAAAATGACTCAAAAATAGATGAAATTACAAGTTTAAGTCAACATAATGCAAGTTAAAACAAGAAAAAGCAAGACTTCAGAATTTCGAATTATGAGTGAATTATTGAATGTAAGATTTTTCAAGTATTCTAGAATAATTTACCGACCAAAAAGTCAGTTATTAGTGAAATTATTTTGGACATTATTCAAAATTGTGAAAAATATTATTTTAATTTTTTCTTCGAATATTCACAGCTTAATTGTAACCAATAACGGTAAACGATCGGTTTAGACTTTTTCGAGTTTTCCATATTTTTTTTTTCAAAAAACAAAAATTAATCATAGAAGTAGTGTTTTTCGCAAAGCAAACTATTTCTATGAGAAAACATGCATAAGAATATCTTGATTAAGTGAATATTTGTATTCATCGATAGATGTCAAGAGAAATGAAACTTCTGAAAATATATAATGAAGAAAAAGCTTTCACTGCTATCCATATGGAATAAAAATATTAAACACGAGAGGATTACTTTAACCATTGTGGGAAATTTTATCATCTATATAATAGACCAAAAATCAACATGCTGGAAAACCCACTAGATCATTACAAAGCTTGACAGACATATCAGCATTGTTGTTGCCGTTATTGAGATAAGCCGGAGGTGATGAATTCCATATTCTTGCCACATAATTCAACAATCATGTTTTCATAATAATGAAACAGGAGCTTTACATCATTTCTATAGTAATTCAGAAGTTAATATGACTATGATAAGATGAGAAAAAGTAACAAATAACTCATGACGATCGATTTGCTGATATCAATAAGACAAGAAATCTATCAATAGCAACTAAAAATAATTTAATTTAGGTTCTTCTAATAACTGCTTTTATTGCATATTTTAATCAAACAGCACTTGAAACAACTTTAACACCATTTACAAATATTCAATTCGGTTGGAAAGAAGTACAAATATCAATTGTATTTGCTATAGCTGGTATTGAAATAACTCTTGTTTATATTATTTTACATTTTGTAACAAAAAAAATTCGTGATGAAGCAATTCTATTATTTGGTTATATTATTCTTAGTATAGCTTGTTGTATTGGTGTTATTGTTTTACCATTTTCGGAAGTTGGTTCAAGAAAATATTTACCAGTATTTTTATTATTTATTGGTTTAGATATATTTGGATTACCACTTATTGCTGTAACAACAACAAGTTTATTTACTCAACAAACGCATAATGATCAACAAGGTATTGGTCAAGGTATACAACGTTTTGTTATTAATGTAGCAACTGTTATTGGTCCATTATTTGCTGGAAGTTTATTAACTGCAACATGGTTAATGATATCTTTTATGTTTATTATTGTTTTATTTGCAACACTTTTAGTTATACTTGTTTATCCATCATTTTCATTATCAAACAATGATGAATTATCAACATTATTACCACAAGAGAATAATAAACAATGTAAAGAAAAAAGTTCAATTTAAATGTTTATTGCTGAATTTTATTTTATTTTTTTCTTCTTTTTGTATACAGAAAAACCAAAAAAATAAACAGTAATGCGATAATGACAGAAAAAAAAAAAGAAGCAAACAAAGTTTAAATTGAATCGTCTTCTTCACTTGAAAGTGTATCGGAAAGATTTTTACGTTTATTATTATCACGTAATGATAAATTTAATATTCCTTCAATTTCAAATGATTTTCGATTTTTTTTATTTGAATGTTTTTCTTCATGAACTGGAGGTATAACGGAATTTGAAAGTGATGATAAACGTATTGCATTCATCATAGCTGGTATATATGATGGATGATAAAGATTAAATGGCCATAATGGAAATGGTGATGGTGTTAAAAATGGAAATGATGATGGTGTTGTTGATGATGTTTCAGATGTTTCTAATAGATTTGTATCACTACGAAAACGTTTTGGTTTTGCTATTGTTATATGATTATTTGAATGTGTTGAATTTTTTGCTGTTGTTGTTGTTGTCATTGTTTGAGTATATTTTAATGTACCATTATTTTCAACAATAAGTGATTGACGTTGTTTACATTGAGTTTGTTGTTCAACAAATTTAGCTGGATCAAAATCAACAGAATTAAATTCATCAGGTTCAGGAACAGCCTGTGAATTATAATTATATCTAAATAAAAGAAAATTCGATTTTCATGTTTTATATGAAAGTTTATTATGAATATTACATATCAAAATTTTGATAATAAAATTTTGACTATATGATAGATATTATTATATAAATGTCAGTTACAATCTATAGTATATAATAGAATAGTAGTGCTTGTTCAATAGGATAAAGTTTGAATACAAAATATTATCCTATGTTCATCTTCTATCTTTGAGATGAAAGATCAATAGATGGATTCATTTTGCAAGAGAGAAACTTTTACTTCACCCTTCAAAAAAACAATATGAAAATAGTTCATATATCAGAACGAGACATTATTGATATGCAATTTGTGAGAAGTACCAAATTTGTATCCCTATACTCAAGCCTCGCGCAAGGAGGATGTCATCCCCCTTGCCCAATTTTTGGTCCTTTACGTTGAATCTGCCTATACTAAAAAATCTCTTTTCAGACTGTGTTTCATAAAAGAAGCTACTGGAAACGAGATTAAAAAACCCTTGGCCTCACGCATAGAGGGCTGCAGGGTGCAGGATTTTTATAACCTGTAACCTGCCCTGTAAATTTTTTGTAACCTGATCCTGCCCTGCCCTGTGAATATTTTTGCGGACCCTGCCCTAAAACTTTCTAATGTAACCTGTAACCTGCCCTGCCCTGCCCTGCTAATTTTAAAATAGAGGAATATCCAAAATTTCCTATCAGTATTTATAGTACATTTAATTGTGTGTACTTCAAATTTGAATTGGATAAAAATAACGCTTAATTTCTTCAAGATTACTAATAGAAAAATATCGAATAAACAAAACTAGCTGCAATCTATCATAGCCGATCATTTCTTATATTATGAGTGCTTTAGTCTCGGTAAATTCATCTTTCTTCATACCTAATTTTTTTAAAAGATACCGGAAATGTCGGTTGTTCAAAATTAATCTCAGGTTAACAGGTTACGATATGGACAACCTGTAACCTGCCCTGTAAAAATTTCATAACCTGGCCCTGCCCTGCCCTGCTATTTTCGCAGCCTGCCCTGTCCTGCCCTGTCAGGGCAGGTTACCTGCATCCTGCAGGGCTCTACTCACGCATCTCTATTCACTACTCATTAGCAATTTTGTTCATAGAACTTGAGTTGATTAACCAAAAATGGAAAATCCAGTAAGATGCTTTAATTATTAGAATATGAATGAATCTGTTTAGATCTCCACTAATGAATAAAAGAGGAGTGTAATTAGTTTTTTGTCGTTTTTATCTTTATAATTAATAAAATTCAATTTTTAACTTTTATTAATTTCATTTAGTACAGACTCATCGATTTCGAGTATGAAGATTTTATTTTCTAAATTCTTACCCTGGTTCAATACTTGTATGTGGTTTATCTGGATGATTCTTTGTTAGATGATCTTTGATTGATGAATGATGCATACAATCATATTCACAATATTTGCAAGTATATGGTTTAACACGAATATGTGTACGAAAATGAACTTTAAGATTTGATTTCGATGAACAAATCTTCATAATAACAAAGGAAATTAAAAAAAAATAAATTCATGTAATTTACAAAAAAAACAAAAATAAAATATTTACCTTTCCACATTTAATACAATCCCATTTACTTTCTTTTAAATGAACAATTTGTATATGATGTCTTAAATTTGAATAATTAGCAAATGATTTTCGACAATAACTACACAATGGAATATTTTCTTTTTCGTCGTTGATATCTGAAACCATCGATGTTGATAATGTTTCATCACTAGTCGATTTTGTATCCATATTTGTATGTTGTAAACTAAGCATCATTTCGTTCTAGTAATAACAAAAAAAAAAAAAGAAGAAGCTGGCGCATAACAATAACAACATAACCCGATACTAATAGATTAGTTCCTTTTCTTCAACAGAGTCAATTAGATACGCAACATTTTTTTGTTTCGAAGAAAGACACATGTGTATAATCTTACCTGTGCGTATGCTTGATTATTAACAAATGTCAATGTATGTAATAATGAAAGTGATGTGTCTGATAGTGCATATCGAAGAAATCGCAGCAAGGGTCATTTTTCTTTCTCTCTCTCTCTCTCTCTCTCTTCGTCGATGCCAATTGGTGGTGCCATCCGTTAAAAATAATTTTGAGTGTCATCTGTTTCTCTCTTGATTACGAAGAGAAGAAGAGAAAAAAAAAATGACATTGCTCTTTTTCTTTTTCATTATTATTGCCTTTCTCTTGCACGCATCATCGAAGCATAAACACTTAAACTTAATAGAATTTTTAAAATGTTAATAGAATAATAGTGATCGATAGGTGAATTAAATATATATTCACACATAAATGAATAAAAAACGAAAAAAAAATTAAAGACCTGAACTGTGTGTGATAAGAATTAATGATGACAACGAACTGATCGTCAATGTAAATTGAGTGTGAATGTAATGTTGCTAAGTGCTCGAAAATTGATTCGAGATTTCGATATCGTAAAAAGCTATCTCTGATAGGTTCGAAAAGCATATTTTCAAATCAATTGAATTGAAAAAATAAAATATATATATATATACAAAAGTACAATTTACAAATTAACTCTTCATAAATTTAACATGATATAGTTTTTACCATACTCTATTTTGTAAGTTTTTCGTTGTTTTGAATTAATTATGCACAAAAAAAAGCAATAATAATAGATTAAATCATATTGAATCCTAATCATTGTTTGGTGATATTTTTTATTTATTTGACGCATCATCGAAATATTTTCTAAAATGTGCACATAAACCATATGTATCAAGACAATTTGAATACAACTAACAGCTTCGTTAAGTGTGATGAGACGATGCACTTTGACAAGTCTTATTCAGGTGTTAGGATCTTTTTTTTTGTCTCCTATAAATATAAATATAAAAATATATATCTCATCGTAGTGTGATCACAATATAGCTCAATGAATTGTTAAACTCATGCTAATAAGATCATAACACACATATACACACCGATTTATTGTTAGTTGGTAGTGTCAACAAGAGAATTCTATTTATTCGTTATGACCAATATCGATTAGCTTCTTTCCTGCTGATAATAGTCATGGCGGTTAAGATAAAAGAAAAAAAAAGAAAGAAGAACAAGAGGAGAAAGCTTATGAACAACAAGCTAGCCACTTGACAGCATACAAGTATGCCACGCGCGACTATAAACAAATAAGAAAAATGAAGATAACTAAGCTAGTAGTGTACGAGATGTTTTGTTATTTAATCTTTGATTATCAACGCGCATTGGTATCTATTATCTTTTCGATGAGTCATATCTTCATTAATGTAAAAAAAGAAAAAAAGAAAAGAAAAATAATATGTTAATAAGAGAATGACATAATTTTGCACAGTTAGTTTCTGATTGCTTTGACCACCTACGTCTATCAATGTACTATCCCATATATGTTATGTTCCGCCTACTTTTTCCCTCTCGTCATCGTCAAGAAGTGAATATTGAGATGCTGAGATCGATTGGAAAATTCGTTGAATTAGTACAAAGAATTATTCGATAAATCATTTAAATTATGTTGTGTGTATTGAATTTTAATTGTTGTTAATAGAAGATTTAGTGATAGTTGTTCAAATTGAATCATCGGTTTAATATAAAAATCCATGATAATGAAGTAGAACAATTGTAAAAAGGTTAACAAGACAAGATTATTTGCTTGTTCCAACTAACATAGAAAGTTCCTCAAGAAGATCATCAAGACTTATCTCATTTTGATCAAATAGCAAATTGGAATGAACAAATTTATTGTTGTTGTTGGGATAATCAAATAAAAGATATACAAGACACTAGTAAATTTATATACTAGAATGAGAGAACGTCTTTCAAAATTTTAACTATTCGAAATACTATTCTATTCGACATTTCATATTTTCAAAATTTTGTAAATAATTTCAATTATCGAGTAGTAGTGATATATTATGACAAACAATAATTTCATGATTGAGAATAGAACCTTTTTTTTTGTTGTTGTCTCTTCTGAATTATGTTTTGATTGCTATCTATAGTTTACGAGATAATTCATTTAAAACCATAGATCATTTCACTATCTTGGACAATTCAAAAGTAGTGGTGGAAGTGTTTTAATTCTTTATAAAAAACTTAAAAATCTATTTTTCTGTAATATTGGATCATTCTTTAATTAATATTATAATAATAAAATTTCGATAAGATCTATTTGTCATGATATATGACAGTCATATTAGATTATATTTTGTATTCGGTATGTATCTTCTCCTTCTTCTCTCTTTTTTTTTCTCGTCTTCTCCAATGTCTAATCGTGTATACACATTAGGATATACAAAAAGTATTGAATGTAGAACAAAACGAAATATAGCAACAAAACTCAACAAATTTTTATTTCATCAAATGTTCGAAGCAAACTATCGTTGTGGTTATTCACAAACAATTAAATTCATTCAATCCATTTATTGAACATTTTTTTTATACTCTTCTTTATTTAAAGAGTTCATGAAGTTGGAAATAGCACAATGCAGCTATTCTAAATCGTTTTAATTGATCAGATTTTTGATTAAGTCGAATAACCGAAAATTACATAGTGTACATTTTTGTAGCTTTGTATTGGAAATAAATCAGAGACAAATATTTATGAGAAGACGGAGAAGTGTCATCCTTTTTTGAGAGTACACTAACTAATCAATTGATTTTGAAGATGGAAACTTAGCGAGTAGCAGTTTCTTCTTTTTCCTTTTGCATTGCAGTAACTAAGAAAGAAATCATATATACACAAAGGTATGCGAAACGTTGTCATCATAACCAATAACAACATCTGAAAGAAGGTTCGTACAGCACAAATTCACGTCAAAGGATGGATGAAAGAAACTAGTTTTGACGTCAGCATCGACTGTTTTTTCGTTTTGTTCTGTCTTTATTTACATTGTCGAGCTCTCGACACATTGTCTATAAAGAAGCAAAATGGGCAGTGGTGCTGCTACATCTGTTAATACCTATCAAGAACTCGAGGCAGAAGTCAATTGATTAACACCGCATATACCTATTGCTGAATTGCTTAATAGTGGAATCATTCGAGTGACGGGTCTGACCGGTTTCTTCGATGTTGATTCTTTACTTGAACCAGCATGGCTGAAAGGCAAAATGACATTGGACGAATATCGATGATATCCTTCAGTGCATTTCACCTATCAACATGGCATTAGAGACATGCAATGTTATGCGGTTTGGCATTCACGATTGACAACGCCATTTGTTGTACTAGAGGACGATCATGCAGTAAAGGCCCCGAGTCTTATATATATCTCAATGTCAATGGATAGAACGAACTCTATTGATCTAGAATTGAACAATGAATCATAATAGTTAATATTTAGAGTTCTGAAATCGAACATCTGCGAATGTGACTGTGTGAGTGCATGTGTATGCGGATCTTGATGTGTAACTATTAATGTGAGATTTTTGAGTGTTGCTGTATGTAGGTGTGTAATTGTGGGCGTGGATGCACTATAATAAAAACGTAGAATCATAAACCTTTTAAGGGTTCGTAAAAGTATAACATATAAAAAATTCTTTTTTTTTTTTATTGTCTATAAAATATTCATTAATCCTTTAATAAACCCTTTACAAAAGAAGTATGAAGTGGCTTCTAATTAGCTTCAATTACTCGTCGTGAAAGGTTTATGAAAGGGTTATGAGACTCATAAACGCTTACAGAGATTGATATGCGCTGCGTTTTCATAAATCATCGTAAGAACTCGTGACCTTCATAAACTTCTTCATATAACCTTTGGGGTTCATGAAAGTATGAATGCCTATGGATCAAGTCTTGAATAATATATAGAATTTTCAAAGGATGTTGGATATTTTTACTAAATGTTTTTTTTTCGAAACAGTTCTGTAATGAACAGCAAACATATAAAGCAAAAGGAAAAGAAAAGATAAAATTGCCATCACTTTAAAAAACTTTATTTATATACAACAAAATGACCTTGCTTAAATTTCCTTATGGGAACCGGAACGATGAGCACGGAATGATGAGCACGGGCATTTTAAGCACGCACACAATCGAAATTAAATAGAATGTGGGCGAGCCTTGTATGTGGGTGTAGATTGGCAGTTACTGGACTGAATGGGATTCCAAAACCCTGCTCCTGTGGACTCGAAATCAGAGTTACAAAAGCAGATTTTTCGGAATTGCTGCCGGCGTCAGAGAATTTTTCAATTTTTTTCTCAAATGGGAGGGGCTACCGGGATTTCTTTTTTTTTGGGATTTATTTTCTCCATATGATTTGTTTATTTACTGAGGATTTATTAGGACATATTAGGTGGATCAGTATTTCAGCGGACCCTCATCATCGCTCTTGCCCCTCGTCTCATCTTCACCCTCACTAAGCCTTCGCCCTCACTAAGCCTTCGCCCTCACCCTCATTAAGGCTTAGCCCTCAGGAGGAATTGTTTGAGATTTATTTCAAAATGTGTGGAGATTTATTAAAAAATCCCAAAAACATAAATCCTTGTAGCTGCTGGAACGTATCGGGCTGCTATTATGGTGGTATAGAGTGGAGAAAATGATAAACTTCAAGACTTTATGAGATTTTAAAAGGCTTTACGAGATTTGAAACGCAGAGACTTGAAACTTTCTAAAGACTTAGCGTGACTTTAGAAGATTTCAACGAAAAGTCTCTGCTATTTCTCACTCAAATGTGAATATGGCTGAACAGATGATCAATATCTGCACCCGCCTACACGCTATTTAATTTCGATTGTGTGCGTGCTTAAAATGTCCGTGCTCATCGTTCCTCGTGCTGAACTTTCCTCGTGCTTATCGTTCCCGTGCTTATCATTCCCGTGCTTATCGTTCCCGTGCTTAACATTCCGTGCTCAACATTCCGTGCTCATCGTTCCTCGTGCTCATCGTTCACCAATCCGGGACGATCGATATCGCTGCGTAACAAGCTTCAACCGAGATAAGTATGGTATGTATCATTTAGAAAAATAAATAAATATCCAGAGATGCTTACAGATTTCGATAGAGAAAAAATTCTACGTCGGATGAATCTATTGTCACTGAATAGAATATTGAATTGAGTCAACTTTAAGATGAAAAATCATTTTTCGGACTTCCCGAAGTGCTTCTGGATCTTTCCTATTATTTGATACATTTTTTTTAAATGTAAGATTTGCAATTAACATACATAGTTCTAATTATAAATTCTTGAAGAATTTAAATAGAACCTAGTAAGACAAATTGAGTTGTCATAAAGTACAAGACGAAAACAGTAAAATTGGCCCGGATTCAATGCTTTATTTTATGCTAATTAAATTGGAATCGAATCTTTCCTGATGCAAGTAGATAGTTTTACACATCTACCCGGAATGTTTCTATCTGTGAATATCTTATAACTTTACTAAAACATTTCTCTAACACAAGAAATCATTGCTATCGCAACAATGTGCGTAATAGTCCTATGAAAATATGAAATATTAGAAACAAAAAAAAAATATTGCTTTAACTTTAGTTTTAACCGTTAAAGCTTAAAGTGACATATCTACTAAAGAATTCGCTTTGTTGCAAACTGAGCGACAGTCGGAAATGATAATTAGGTCCTTTTCACTTCTATATTTTTTTGAGTGATATACAAGAGTTAAGCTCGAATCCTCCATTCTAGGTGCGTTGGACGAGGCCTCGTCTGCTCTTGACGAAGATGTCACGTGTGCCATCGCTCTGAAACACCGAGCTTTGTCGCATTCTCGCATGAACAATCTCGCATCTGCGCGAATCGACATATCAGTTGCATTGGCTCTTTCTCGTGAGTACTTTATGT